CCCGAAAGATGATTGCGCACGTTATGAAGATTGAAGCTTCCACTTTCGCAATGCGTCATTCGTTTCTTTCAAATGTACTTTTACGTTCAACGGACGGAGATCTATTTGGAAATTAGCTTTCTATGCGAGCAGCTGGAATAAAGCTAGGTCGAAATGTGAAATACAGTGACTTCTCTCTGATATACATAATATATAATAGTAATAATAATAAATATCGGTAATTCGTCGAAAATGGAATATTTAGTGTACGGAGATCCACGGTATTCGCGAACAACATCGCAATTTCACGGAAATCGGCCTTTGATCTTGCCGATTGTGCAACGAGTGTAGATCGCGTCGCGCACGAGACGATCGATCTGTGGCATCCTGTGGCGATTGCACTCGGTGGATCCGGCGACGATTAGGAAACGGATGCATGCTGCCGTCCGACGAAACGGTGTGCCTGTTACTCACCGATCGGTTTCACCGAGAGGCCGTCGCACCGGCAGCCGAGAACGCAGCCCAGGAGGACGATGAAGAACAGCGGCTTACGGAGTTGCATTTCCGCTGGCTTGGCGCACGAAAAATGTCCCGGAATCGAACGCGCGGAGGAATACCGATTAGTGTGACCTGTGGTAGATCAGGCAAACGCACGCATTCGACTGGTAGGCGCGTCAGTGAATTTAGTGGAACGATATCTCGTGGGTCATTGAAAGAGCGAGGGTCAACCGCTTTATCTGGCCCCCCTCTCATTCTTGCGTTGTTTCCTCCGTAGCCTCCCCTTAATTCCGCACCACTTCAACGCCGTTCACAAGCAGCGACCGCGCGACCGAGTTCGCCTAACGAAACAACACTGTAAATAAGAGGATGCGCTTGTCTTGACATTTCGTCGGCTTCTGTTCCGGACACGTCAGGCCCCGCAGGAAATCCAATTGGCGCGCGGAGGAAACGGCGGACGTGTTTCGTTTCCGCGGGACACGTTCCCTTCGGTCGCCGATTTTTATTCGTGCCGAGTTCGCCTCGTTTAACACGTCGAATGCCACGCCGGTTTTACAGAAATCGTCCGCGGCGCCACGATGAATTTTCTTTTATGCGATACATATAATGTTGAAATATTATCTGCAATAGATAAGTTACGGTGTATAACCATGTTCGACATGTTAATTGCGACATGGGTCACCGTTTGAATCGACGATGGTAATAATACAAAATTTTAGATATCGACGTTTGTTCGAAATTATATATATTTCTATCAATTTGGGCGCGCCGGTCACCGGTGGCCCCCATGGCATTCAACGTGTTAATATACAATTTAATAAAGAATATCAAAGGATACATCCTTCTTGATCGGCTAGCTGTTTTCGAGGAGTACACTCGTCGCGGAGAAATGGCAAAACTTTCTGTCGCGACGAGTACACTCCTCGGAAACAGCTGTTCGATTAACGTGGTCATCGGCTGCCCTGGGTCGTTATAATTATTATCTAGGTCCATATAATTATTAATTCCGTGTACGCGTCGATTCTTCAGCACCACGATCCACGATGTGATCGTTTGTGTTCACCGTTTCATTGTTTAAAAAAAACGCCATTATCGTCGTGTTAATTAGCAATTGGGGAACAGGAGCGGTTCGATTCGGTGATCGAACAAGGTAGGATTCGATCGTGAGTTTATTGTTGCCATGTCGTGATCTTTCCCAGCTTCCGTGGGATGCGTTTGTTACCCTAGTCGCAACGGGCAATATAACGTGCCGGAGCTTGCGTGTAGGTGTTAATGCGGGAACGCGTGTGTGGAACCCTGCTAGTGGAAAGTGAAACGTGCCCATTCTAGGGCCTAGTGATAAATGGGACTGACGTCAGCTGTCGATGATTTAACGCGTTAAATATAGATCAATGTGGGAAAATCGTATTGATGTTAATTATTATTATTTTTTTTCAGGCTTATCATTTTTCGTTGCGAGTCCTTTTCTGTTAAATAGAGTTTTTACAGAAACTGATGAAGAATTACGAGCTGTTCGCATGACCGTCGACTCCATCTTCTTCTTTATCATAGCTTCGGATGGAATATGACATAGTAGACAGAGGAATATTTTGACGTTTCGGAAATATTTGAGGAAATTTTCTGCATCCGGTCCTTGTCATGAAAATTACTTATTGTTGTAAATATAGGGAAAATTTAATATTTGTGATGGCTACACATGATTCTTGTAGAGTCCGCAGTAAATAGAATATCTCGGCAATTGATGGCTCGAAGTGAATGTTTTTGGTCTCAATGACATCCTACTAATTTTACGCACCGAATGCGTGTAAGAAATTGCTATCATTTCTTCGGACTCAGAGCTCGAAGCCTGCCTTTACCGTTTCACACTTGATGCCGTTTGTTTATGTTAGAGCGAGGACACAAATACGGAAACAAATGTAATTACTACGTAAAAAAAGGTAGGGTAAGATAATATTAATAATAATAGTAATAATAATAATAATAATAATAATAATAGTGATAGTAATAATAATAATAGTAATAATATAATAGTAATAATAATTATGATAATAACAACAAAATTTTTTAGTTCAAAATGTTTGTATACATAAGGTCATGGGTCCGTCTGGGCCCGTACGTGGGGCTGCGCGTGAACGCTCGGTAGTTGAACGAATCGACTTTTATATGATGAATACATGTCTTTAAAAATGACTTGAAATCTACTAATTGAGGGATTCAGAAAAAATTCTGAGGATGTAGAAATGTGCAGGAGATTCTCCTGCATATATATTATGTAAAAAAAGTTGATATGTTAGTGCAAATAACAATACAGATGATTCTTGCTGCTTTTGTCATAAGGTAGAATGGACAATCCGGCACGAATCATCTAATCTTGAAAATATAAGAATAGCGCCATTACACGTAGTGGCAAAACGCTCAAACTGTTCAACAATTTAGTTTCCCTTTTCTTCGCTAGATAACGATGCTTGCTCGTTCCATTAGAATATAAAAATAGCGCCATTACACGTAGTGACAAAACGCTCAAGCTATCTACAGATGATAATTTTGATTCTGAAACAAATGACGTCACTATTTTTTGGCTATTTTGAACACATTTTGTGCTGGATATTATGTACATTTTAGTGACAAAAATCATCTGTTCTGTACATTTGCCATAATAAGTAAATTTATTTGCATGATATAGATGCAGAAGAGTCTTCAGAATATTCTTTAACCATTGAATTTATGTAAAAATCCTTCTGTTTTCGATCATATCCTTTGAACTTGCCCATCCTCGATTCATTTCTAACATCGATTAAAACTCGAAGATCAATTGTCAATCATTCTTTTATAAATATTTTGATTGTGCAAAATGTCCAGTGTCTCTTTGAGATCTTGAATAATGAAAAATGTGTCTTGCCATCATCTTGTATATAGTAACTGGCACTTTTGGGATACTTTGGCACATACTCATAGCAATCGGTATATTCATGCTAGCGATACTTGGACATACAGCAAAATATATATCCTATTTAATGACATACTCATCAGAGGAAACTATTGCCAGTTATAATACTCCCCAAACCGATGGACCAACCACCTGAATTTAAAGTGCACCTGCGATATAAATGTTTTGAACATATTCATATGATTACGTTGAAATATCAATATGTTACTCCAATATGTTTGGCCTGTCGTATGATTTCAAATGTGTGACACGAGTGAAATGAAAAAATTGGAATACGACAACTCATACGGATAAGCAGATTTATTCAATAAAAAAAGATATAATAAAAATAATTATATTATGTACACAAGAATTAACTATATAATAATAATCTAATAATTAATATCTGTTTCTCTACAATATCTTAATATTTATAACAGAGATACACACAGTTTGCCATTACTTTCCTCGTATGACATAAATCGTGTAAAAACATGATTACGCCTCAACTTACTTTGGACGGACTTCAATAAAAATGGACGGATTGAATTGAATACGCATCGCGCTAAGGCAGTATCATAATACTAGCAAATGTGCCGCGCTTTGCGTGGCACGTTCTTCATCAATATCGCTTTAAATGACAAAGGCATCTTCACATTGGATTGTTACCTTTTAACGTGGTAATAACCGACAGCTGCCACATTGACGACAGAATCTAGGGAAGCGAGCAGCCTAAGTCACAGAACTTGGGTCTGAACATCACAGGACCATATCGTTCCAACATTAATCTTGATACATTTTAGTTTGCGCTTGATCTACTTCCGCAACGAATATCTAGAGTCTTTACCGCAGATAGATAATAATGGAGATTTAAATCTTTCCATTTAAGTTGCGGGCATTGTTGATACCGCGCTGTGAGGTGTTGTTGGTCGAGAACCAGTAATGGACTGTGTGGTAGATGCGTTCAGTGATTGCATGGTACCGATCTGAAAATTAAGATTTACTATATAATTTGCATCAAAGTGTAAAAAAAGCAGCACTTATGATAGGCATTAAATTAATTCATTTCGTAATATGGGAGAGGGTTCGATAGGAAACTTACTCTCAAATGTGCAAGATCTTCCAATCTTGTGAGATCGCTCAACTCGATGTACAAAGAGTACACTATTAACCATCCATAGATGGAGATACAAGTAAATATAGACCACAGAAGGCACATCATGATGTTGTAAGCAAATATCATGTCATTTACTGTACTGAAGAATACAAAAGCAAACAGTCTAAAAATACTGAACGCAGCAAAACTGTACAACCAAGGCACCATTTTCTTCTCATATTCCTTTCGTAAAGCAGTTATTAATATTAACGATGTTACAAAAACTACTATCCCACCAAGCATGGAGAACAGAGCAAACACTATGAGAGCATTGCGAACTGAAACAAGAAGATAAATTTTTTGTAAATTTATACTTTATCGCTTATTTTACGAAATGTTCAAATTATGTACTATTCTTACCATGTTGATTGCCTACATATACAAATTCATACGATATCATGTAGTATCCATAATGCGTTGAACCTGGAGCAGCTTGAGATAGACAATAAAGGTCAAATATTGCTGTGCAGACAGTGAAAATGGCTAAAACCTGAAGATAAGCATTTATTAAGAGCAAATACGTTTGCAAATTGATGTATATTAGATAATAACGGAACGTAATACATACCAATGAAAATATTCCAGCAAACAAAGCACCTCTTTGGATGCCAAGAACATAAGCATTTGTTAATATGCCCATGCTTGGAGATTTCTTCCCGTAATTAATTCTTTAACTACGTCAATAACACAGCTCGTCCAAGTATGACGAGTATCTTGTAAGTTGTTCAGAGCTCTATAGTTAGTCTGTTGTTATATTACACAGTGGGTTACACGTTCAATCAAAACGATATTTCGAAACATATTTGACTCACTCTGCGTCGAAACAGGTTAAGTTGCGAATACTGTTATCAAACTTTCCATGCAACGTTCTATTTTGTGACGATATAGTGATCATTCACTGCTGTAAAAATACACAGAATTTTTACTACAAGTACTCGTTCCACGAAAAAAGTTGACCCATTTCTTTGTAAACGTAAACATAAAGTCGTCGCACCTACACATACCGACGCATGTAGTTGATCACGAGCCGAAGCCCGACTGTTTTGAATTGAACAGAGACGTGACCGATAATTGTCGAATATGTCCGAAGCGTTTAATGTTCACAAATCAAACAAGATCAAGGAAACAAAAACACAATTTAAAAGACACACGTAAAAATTTTATTTCAAGAAAACCTTTCCATGAAAATCAGGCTGACAGGGCACATCTAAAGCCAAGATTTCCAGCTGAAGAGTCAGGGGTATTTTGACTTCTGGCGGCACACCTGTATCTAAAACAATAGCTCTCGTGACAAAGATAGGATCCACCTTTTTTCACTTTGTCTGTTCCATCAGGCGGTCCGGTCTAGAAATGTATTTCGTGAATAAATATCGTCAATCGTAAAGGAGAAGCGAAAATGCGAATTAAAACATACAGGATTCGTAGACCCGCCCCTTTTCGCGGCATCGATCGTCCACCAATCAGACGTCCACTCCCATACGTTTCCTATCACGTTGCGCAACCCATATTTGTTCGGCGGGAATTCTGTAACTGGCGCAGTACCCAGGTATCCATCTTCCATCGTATTATCATTTGGAAAGTCACCCTGCCAGGTGTTTGCTCTAAAATTCGTCGAGACTTTCATCGTATATATAACATCTCAAAGTTTTAACTTCCAATTGCTCGTTCAGTTTACCTGTGTTTACCATTCGGAATGAACTTATTGCCCCACGGATATAATCTATCGGAAAGCCCGCCACGACAGGCCACTTCCCATTCCACTTCGGTAGGTAATCTTTTTCCTAGCCATTTACAATACGCGGTAGCATCGTTCCACGATACGTGTACAACGGGATGATCCATCCTGTCTGGATCGTTCGATTTAATCTGTTGCTATTATGAACACAGAATATACGAGAGGCAAAACTTTTATTAAATTTTTTCTGTTCGCGATCCTGAATTAGGTGATCTCGACAATTTATATACAGACAGTGTTGTCGCTTTTTTAAATTAACATGTCCGCGCACGAAGTCTACGCACGAAGGATTTGCAGCTTTGGAAAGCGCGGGAATATTTGAAACGTAATATGGTGGAACACAATTTCTAACAGATCCATGTAAATAATCACAAGGATGCATGAATTTTCGTACGCATGCGCACTAGAAATTAGTTCTCAGAAATCACTGTAGTTTCGCCTCTGTGACGTTCTGTGCTTCCAAAACGAAATCTCAATGTTTCGAAAATTGCAAGGAGATTACGTACCTGCGCGTTAAATCCGAATCAGGACCCTCCGGATGCTTCCAAGTGGCGTTTTTAATTTGTAACCACCATGGAGCTCGAGCGACTGCAGCCGGTGAATTCGTTTTTACTTCTTCTGTCAACAGACCTCCGAATACGAACGAATCGCCAAATGATTCGGCCTCGGTCAAGTAGCCGGTCGCATCGACGAATGCTGCGAACTCCGCGTTGCTTACTTCCAGCTCGTCTATGTAAAAGGTATCAAGATGCACTTTTCGTTTCGGTGATTCGCCATCACCGACAAAGACCGGTTCGTTCGTTCCAATCGCAAAAGTGGCTGCATCTATTTTGACCATGTTTCTCAAACGATCGGAACTTTCTCCGGAATAGAAGTGTTTTAAATCGTCCCCCACTGTGCAATAATCTTGCGTATCTTTCGACTGTTTCGATTCTCTGTTCGTCCCTTGACCGCAGTGTTGCTCGCCTGAACGATCATTTTCGAAGCATCCCGCTATTCGGTGCAATGCAAAGAGCATGCCTGCGCAAACCAGCAACCTTGTTGACGGCATTTTCAAAGTTGACGGACTCTTCGTTCTATAGTTAGAAAATCTTCCCGCAGATAAATAGACGGTCGTCTACAAGTCGATCTTCGATGTCACAAACGGTCAACGAGTCTGAATTCGAAAGTAAATACAGTCAAAAGCCAACCGTCGCGTCACTCGTCATCTTCATGGTAGACGATAACCGACGATAACCAACCAATCTTCCGTTAAATGAATGGAAACGAATTGACAGAGACAGCAGCGCCATCTGACAATGCAGCAATGCTTTAGCATTGAATTAAAGATCATAGATGTCCGGTGTAAAGGAATTTTTTGTATACAAAAGATTACGAATTTGTGCTCGTCTCGTTAACATATTAAATATTTATGAAACAAATATTGAAATGTTCCTTATTAGTTCATAAGTATTTACGAGTCTGGTTATGTAAAATGAATGTGCCGGTTGGGATAATGTAATAGCACGGGACTACAGACAGAGACAGATTTGCGACCACTGTCACCAATTGCCACAGTATCCGTGGCACAGACCGATTCTAAATCTAACCCACTCTAAGACTATGCTGTGACGTAGCATACGATGTGGGCGCATGTGATTCGCGTGGAGCCCAAACACAGAAAACCGCTGCTTGCCACGCATCATTCGCGTTTTCATATGTGCGAGATACAGTAGCAACAAGATTTGAACGCTGTTGTTTTGTTCGTGACACTCGACAAGTAGAAACCTGTTGCCAGTTCGATACAGCGTCCGTGTACATAGAATTTACAATGGTTTCCTCGAGACGTTCCAAACTGTTATTCTGTGCGCTCGGCATTTTTGTATGTTTCTTTTACTTTGGCATGGTACAAGAGAAAATTACTCGTGGACAATATGGAGATGAAAAGAATCCTGAGAAGTTCACTTATATGTTTAGCTTAGTATTCCAGCAATGCTTTATCAATTACTTGTTCGCTAAGACTAGTTTACTGACCGTCTTGAAACAAGGGGACGATACTACTCCAAGAACATACTATGCCGTATCTGCTCTTACGTATTTATTAGCGATGGTGTGCACCAATATGGCTCTAAGGTTTGTTAGTTATCCTACACAAGTGATTGCGAAAGCTGGTAAACCAATTCCTGTGATAATACTTGGAGTACTGCTAGGGAACAAGGTATTACCTTTGTATTATTTTTAATACGGTTGGTCACCTTATTAAGTTTTAAGACGTCGCTAAGCCCCTCGTAGCTCATTTAATTCGCTTTTATAAGAAACCCTCGGATGATCGTAATAGAACGATCTAGTTATTCGATGATAATAATTTGATAAAATAAATTACAGGTTTATCCAGTCAGGAAGTACATATTTGTCTTCTTAGTTGTTATCGGTGTGGCTTCGTTTATATACAAAGATGGAAACCCAATGAAGAAACCGATCGAAGGACAATCAGGATTTGGAGAACTATTATTATTACTCGCTTTAACAATGGATGGTTTAACTAGCGCAGTGCAGGAACGTATGAGAGGGGAGCACAAAACGAAATCTGGACACATGATGCTGAACATGAACAAATGGGCTGCAGTATTCAGTGGGATCGTTATAATGATCTCTGGAGAACTGTTCGAGTTCATCCAGTTCTTGCAGAGATTCCCATACATCATCTGGCACATAGCTACGTTTTCGATAGCTGGGGCGTGCGGACAGTATTTCATATTTATTACCGTCGCGGAATACGGTCCATTGCCGTGTTCCATCATAACTACTACTAGGAAATTTTTCACAGTTCTGGGCTCTATATTGATTTTCGGCAACAGTTTGACCAATAGACAATGGTTAGGCACGTTCACGGTATTTGCGGGACTATTTTTAGATGCCATGTACGGCAAAGACAAATCTTCCAAGAAGAATACTGTGAAGTGAAGACCGTGACTGGAGTGTTAACGTGGGTTAACGTTGCTATGTAACGATTCACAAATCGTTCCAAATCACATGGTGTACATCATATTTACAACGTCTGTTTTCTACTTTTTCGCCGACTTGACGTTGCCCAGGATGATACATATTTACAATGAACAGTACAATAAATGAATTTATTCATAATTATGAATTATGAATGAATTTTAAATTTAAGTAACGGTTTCTCTCGAAAGCGTACACTTCCCGTCGTTCTCATAATCTTCCACGTTTAATTAGTGCGCGTAAAATAGCGAATTCTACAAATGAACATTTGAAAGAGTTCCGCGCACGAATTTCAATCAGCCAAAGAATTGCACAAACGAGATATACGTACATAATATTTAATCTGATTTAAAGATTCATGAGCGACCGTTAACAGGAAATGAATAGATAACGAGTAAATTATTATACTCCGTTGGAAATATAATTTTTTATGCGAATACGATAATTCGCGTGGCTCCAGGAATAGACCGTCGTGTTTTTAAACGCCAACGACGTCTTAAGCACCGTTTAAGGGTCATTAAAAATATTACAAAACTTCACTCGAAACATTTGTACAAGTTGACGACAGCACCGTGGCGCGTCGTTCGTTGCGTCTGAAGCGCGAGAGACAGTGTCGTCGCGTGAGATATTTCTAAAACAAGATTTCGTTATTGTTATCAATGTAGACAACAACGCCGACGATGGTCAGGTAGATAATAGTGACGCGTGGATGGCCGTTGGGAAGGGATTGTAATCAGTCGAATGTACCATAAATGCGCAAACTGCTTCTGAACAAGTAGTTTAACGTATTTCCTTTAAAGAAGCTGCATCGAAGGTCGACATTCCACAGATCAGAATCCTAGCAATAATTGCGAGATGAACGGCAGTCGGTTTTGCGTATGTTTCGTGTTGATCGTTGTGTTAGCAGTGTGGTTCCCGAATGTTTGTGCGGATCTATGGAATGGCGGTGAGTGATGTTAATTTAAATGAGCATGTAATATACACGGGAACCTATCTCACCCGCTCTTGTTAATTCGCATTTTACTTTTTTTTTATCCTGATCCTCGACACCCACAACCGACATGCCTCGAAAAACGTTCGACGAGTTTGCGAAGATAGGTACATTTTACCTGACGCTGACTGGATTTATAGAATACAAAAAATACATTTACGAAGACATTTACTTCAATTTATTTTGATCAAGGTGTGCGTACACGCGAATGAATAAATTCCTGCAGAAGCACAATCATGACTTCGTAACTTTTCTTCGTAAGGCTACTCTTCTTGCTTCCGTTTTACGGATTCGGACGACAACTTAACACTGGGTTTACGGAGTGCTAAATGCAACTATTTTGTATTACCTTATGAAAATAACAAAAATATATTTATTCAGATTATAAACGATTTTTCTCATGATCTATGTCCATGGAAACCTTATCGAATAAATTCCCCATAAATGTTTATCTTTACAATTTCAATAATCGTAGATTAAAAAATCTGGACCTGAACCTAGTGTTAGACGTATCCCAAAGCTTCGGACGTTCCGTGAGTTTACCTGTAGCATTCTTTTTCTTTTGTATGCAAAACTTGAAGAAAGTCAGTATCGATCGCTTTTTTTAAACAATTGCAATATAACGCAACAAAACAAACACGACATCTTATCAGCAGTTTAAACTGGCCTATTTTGCTTAAACGTTCCCGCTAACGAAACAGCATGATATATAGCTTCAGAGTATTGTATAATTATCGAAATAGCTCCTCGAGTTGCCAACACGGGCTACGAAGATTGCTTGAATGTCTCTGAATTTATTCAGATTATAGAATAGACACCATCTTTTTGTTCTTAAAGCACGTGTAATGTCGCGCATTTTCAATGCTGAAACGAGAATGGAAAAGAGGGACGTTTGATTGTAGAATCTCTCGCGAGCAATTCTTCGAGCAGTTTATACGAAATCGGTCCTCGGGACGGAGGCAGCAACGATTCATCGATCGAAACCACGACCGCCAAAAAGGTCGCTGATAGCGACGAGGACAATTTTCCTAATGACCTGTTCACCGACGCGCAGCTACGTCAGGGTGCCTTGCTGCTACACATTTTCCTCGCGTTCTACTGCTTCCTGATAACAGCGTTCGTCTGCCACAACTATCTGTTGCCGTCCTTGGATCGGATATGCGTGGAGATGAACATCAGCACGGACGTCGCAGGAGCGACGTTCCTCGCTATGGCCAGCTCTTTGCCGGAGATGTTCGTGAACGTGATCGGGACTTTTCTGACCGAATCGGACATAGGCGTTGGTACCGTTGTCGGTAGCGCCGTGTTCGATACGTTTGCCACTCCGGCTGTAGGAGCTTTGACGGCTGTTCACGTAAGTAAACACTTGATCGATCGTCTATCAGGGATAAGAATGCGGTCTAGTTGAGAATCTACCGAATCGCGGATCGATAATCGTAGGATCGGCACGGTATAGCGATCGGAACAGTTTTACGCAACTAATCGTTAAAGCAGTTCAAATGTGTACAGTAATGTCTCCCTTACTGACGCTCGGATTGTGCACAAAAATGGGCGATTTGGGAAGAGGAGATACGATTATTCGAGCCTTGCGGTTTATTTTTATAGTTATAAATTATAGTCCACAATTATAAAAACGAGCCGCAAGGCTCGAATAATCGTGTTCCCTCTTCCCAAATTATCCAATTTAGTGGACAATTTGAGCGTCAGTAATGTCTCCCTTATTGACGCTCAGATTGTGCACAAAAATGGACAATCTGGGAAGAGGAGATACGATTATTCGAGCCTTGCGGTTTATTTTTATAGCTGTCTCTTATACACATCTAGATGTGTATAAGAGACAGCTATAAAAATAAACCGCAAGGCTCGAATAATCGTATCTCCTCTTCCCAGATTGTCCATTTTTGTGCACAATCTGAGCGTCAATAAGGGAGACATTACTGTACTAGTTTGTCCTGAACACCCTCGGAGAAATGTCTCTGTTCCCATTATCTTCCTTTCTCATCGTTCGCGTTATGTTCTAGTACGTATCATCCGGATAAAATTGATAATACGCTGCTTTATCGGTATTTAACCCTTAGCACTCCGAACCATTCTGGACGTTGGCTACCAGCTACTCAGCGCCTCTTTTCGGCAGAAACGGGCATTTACAGACCCTCGTATTATTTAGTATGGTTTTGGAACTAACTAACATATTATAATGATATTGGACTTATATGAATTGGCTGAAATCGAGAAATTTGCAAAAAGATCAATATTTTATTTTTTTTAAATTTTGTTATTGTTTGCTTTGTAATTTTGTTTTTTTGTTGTAATCGCTATCTATGCGAACTCTTTCTCTCGTTGCCTTGTTGCTTGGACGATATCACTATCACTGTTACCAAACGATAGACTAACTGTAGAAGAAAACCTTCTACAGTTAGTCTTTCTAACATATCTGTATAAATCTATATCTATATATAATCTCTATAAATCTACCTGGAGCTCGTCTTTACTACTACTTGTGTCATGAGACTCATTCGTGTTTGAACGTTTTGCCATTGTTCTAATAAAAAATGCGAATAAATACATAGGTTGACAATTTCTAATTGTTATTACTAACACACAAGATGATATTTACCAAAAAAACTTTTACCAAACAATTTATTTACCAAG